ACTAGGATTACTCTGCACAAAACAAACCAAAACCCAAACATTGAAATGCCTGAAATCAAACACCTAGTATGTGAAAGAAAACTGATAGAGGTTTCCCCAGCCTTGACAACCATCCAAAAAATATTCATGACATTACTGATAAAGGCTTGTGGAGCTGAAGTAAACTGTTTTGAAGCTACCAATAATAAGACATTTAATAACCATGCAAGATAGAGCAAATACTGAGTCATCTTCTGTTCTTTCTATAGATATTTGTGTTCATGGGAGCAGGCAATGAAAGAATATACAGCCAACTAATATAGAAACATAAGGGCTCGTCGCTACTAAAATACAAAAAATTAGCCAGGCACAGAGGCTCACACCTGTACTCCCAGCACTTTGGGAGGCCAGGGTGGGTGGATCATGAGGTCAGGAGATCGAGATCATCCTGGCTAACGCGGTGAAACCTCGTCTCTACTAAAATACAAAAAATTAGCTGGGCGTGGTAGTGGGCACCTGTAGTCCCAGCAACTTGGGAGGTTGAGGCAGAAGAATCGCTTGAACCCAGGAGGCGGAGCCTGCAGTGAGCTGAGATCACACCACTGCACTCCAGCTTCGGCAATGGAGCGAGACTCCATCTCAAAAACAAAAACAAAAAAACCCCCAAAACAAACAAAAACATAAGGGCTATCAGGCAGCTTTTTAAAAACTAAACTTTTATTAACATCTAGAAATAATTATAGATTCACATGCAGTTGTAACAGAGATGCTGTGTACTTAATTTCCCCAAGGGCAGCATCTTGTGAAACTGCAGGACAGTCTCCCAGCCAGATACAGGGATGTGCCTCGCTGCAGTCACCACGGGGACCCCGCACGGCGCCCTCCTATAGCACCCCCTTCCCTCTGCCCCACTTCCTCCTGAATCCCTGGCAACCGTGGGTCTGTTCTTAGTTTCTGTAGTTGGCCATCTCAAGAGTGTTGTATAAAGACAATCATAGAGTAAGGAGCCTTTTGGGATGGTATTTTTCAGTGAGCAGAGTCCCTAGTTCCTACAAGGTGCTGCGTGGGTCGATGGTGGGTTCCTCTTTGTGACTGGGTCGCGGTCCATGGCAGGCATGTGCCACAGTCTGTTTAACCATTCACCTGGTGAAGGATGTCCAGGCTGATTCCTGTTTTGGGATATTACAAATAAAGCTGCTATAAACCTTGGTGTATAGCAAGCTTGTCCAACCCGCAGCCCAGGGGCTGCATGTGGCCCAGGATGGCTTGAATGTGGCCCTACACAAATTCGTAAGCTTTCTTAAGACATCGTGAGATTTTTTTGCTTTTTTTTTTTTTTTTTGCTCATCAGCTATTGTTAGTGTATTTTATGTGTGGTCCAAGGCAATTCTTCTTCCAATGTGGCCAGGGGAAGCCAAAAGATGGACAGCCCTGGTGCGTGTGAACACACTTTCCACTTCTCTGGAATAATTCCTGGAGTGCAGTGCGTGGGTGGTAGTGTGGTTGTATGTTTAGTTTTCTGAGGCTCTCCTGGACTTTTCCAGTGTGGCTGCACTTTTCTTTTTCTTTTCTTTTTCTTTTCTTTTCTTTTTCTTTTCTTTTCTTTTCTTTCTTTTCTTTTCTTTTCTTCCTTTCTTCCTTTCTTCCTTTCTTTCTTGAGACTGAGTCTCGTCTCAAGGCTGGAGTGCAGTGGTGTGATCTCAGCTCGCTGCAACCTCCGCCTCCTGGGCTTAAGCGATTCTCCTGCCTCAGCCTCCAGAGTAGCTGGGACTATAGGCATGTGCCACCATGCCTGGCTAACTTTTTATTTTTAGTAGAGATGGGGCTTCACCATGTTAGCCAGGATGATCTCGATCTCTTGACCTCGTGATCCGCCCGCCTCGGCCTTCCAGAGTGCCGGGAGCACAGGCCTGAGTCACCGCGCCCAGCTGGCTGCACCATTTCAAATTGCCCCGTTTCCCTTCATGCCAGCATTTGGTGTTGGGATTTTGTTTTAGCCACCTTGATAGACATGTAGTGATAGTTCACTGTGGGTTTTGTTTGCATTTCTCTAATGGCTAATGGCGTTGAACATCTTTTCATGTGCTTATTTGCCGACTGTGTGTCCTCTTTGGTGAAATGTCTTTTCATGTTTTTGCCCATTTTCTACTTGGGCAGTTTGTTATTTTCCTGTTAAGTTTCGAGACTTCTTTCTGTATTCCCGACACTCTCCTTTGCTGGATTTGTGGCTGACAGACGCTTCCTCTCATTCTGTAGCTTATCTTTGCATCTTCTTCACGGTATCATTTGTAGAGCAAAAGGTTTTAATTTTGGTGAAGTTCCATTGATCAGTTATTGCTTTTATAGATTGTACTTTGATATTAGAATATCAAAGAATGATTTGCCTAGCCTTAGATCCTGAAGATTTTTCTTCTGTGTTTTTTTCTAAAAGTTTTGTAAGTTTACATTTCACATTGAAACCCATGATCTATTTTGAGATAGTTTTTGTATGAGGTGTGGGGCTTATATTGGGGTTCATCATTTTTGCCTATGGACGTCCAGTTGCTCTGGACCGTTCATGGCACCCGCTGTCTTCCCTCCACTGAATCGCTTTTGTACTTTTGTGAGAAAGCAGTTGAGTGTATTGGTGTAGACCTAGTTCTGGGCTCTCTGTTCTGTGCCATTGTATAGTGTCTTAGAATTGGGTAGATTGATTCCTCCTACTTTATTCTTTTTCAAAATCGTTTTAGCTATTCTAGTTCCTTTCTCTTTTCATAAACATTTTAGAATAGCCTTGTCTATATCTACAAAAATTATTGTTATGATTTTAATAGAAATTGTGTTAAGCTCGTACTGTGAATTAACTTGGGGGAGAATTGACATTTTTACTCTGTTGAGTCTCCTAATCTATACCTTTTAATTTTTATTTTATTATTTTTGAAACAGGGTCCCACTCTGTCACCTAGGCTGGAGTGCAGGGGAGCTATCTCAGCTAACTGCAACATTCACCTCCTGGGCTCAAGTGATCCTCCCACCTCAGCCTCCTGAGTAGCTGGGACCATGCTACTATGCCCAGCTAATTTTTGTATTGTTTTTGTTAGAGACAGGGTTTCACCATGTTGCCCGAGCTGGTCTTGAACTCCTGAACTCAAGTGATCCTCCCACTTCAGTCCCGCAAAGTGCTGAGATGACAGGCATGAGCCACCATGCTTGGGTGAGTCTCCTAATCTAGAAAGACGATGTGTTTCTCTATTTATTCAGATTTTTTTGAGGTTTTCAGCAGCATTTTGTAGTTTTCAGCGTGTAAGTTCTATGTATGTTTTGTTAGATTTATAGCTAAGTATTCCTTTTTTAAAGCAATTGTAAATGATATTATTTTGAATTTCGGTTTTATGAATTCATTGCTATTTTGTAGAAATCTGCTTGATTTTTCATTGTTTATTTTTATTTTTATTATTTGTTTTGAGACAGAGTCTCACTCTGTCACCCAGGCTGGAGTGGAATGGCGTGACCTCAACTCACTGCAACCTCTGCCTCCCAGAGTCAAGCGATTCTCCTGCCTCAGCCTCCCAAGTAGCTGGGATTGCAGGCATGTACCATCATGCCTGGCTGATTTTTGTATTTTTCGTAGAGATGGGGTTTTGCCTTGTTGGCCAGGCTGGTCTCGAACTCCTGACCTCAGGGGATCTGCCCACTTGGCCTCCCAAAGTGCTGGAATTACAGGTGTGAGCCACCACGTCTGGCCTACTTGGTTTTTTAAATATTGCCTTGTATCCTGTCACCTGTTGCACTGATTTAATAGTTTCCAGGAGCTCTTTTCTGAAGACTCTTGGATTTTCTAAGGAGACAACCATGTCATCTGCAACAAGGGACAGTGTTATTTTATTTTTCGAATCTACACGCTGTTTATTTCCTTTTTGTGCCCTGCTGGTGTGCCTAGAACTTTAGCACTGCATTGAGTAAGAGGTGAGAGTGGACACCCTTGCCTTGTCTTAATCTCAGGAAGGAAACATTCCATTTTTGCCCATGAGGTATGATGTTAGCTGTGGCTTTGCCTTTAAAAGATGATCTTTATCAAGTTGAGGAAGGTCTCCTGCACCTACTTTTCTCAGAGTTTTTGTCATGACAGGTGTTGGTTTATGCCAAATGCTCTTTCTGCATCAATTGACATATTCGTGTGATTTCTTTGTTAGCTTGTTAATGGGTTTTTATCAAAGGAGCTTTAACTATTGACATAGCCTCATATTCCTGGATGAAACCCCATTTGGTCATAGTTGATACATCTTTTTCTATATTACTGAATTCTGTTTGTTAATATTTTATTAAGGATTTTCTCATCTATATTCATGAGGGTTATTGGTCTACAGTTTTTTTGTTCTGTCTTTGTCTGGTTTTGGTATCAGGGTAATAATCAACTTTATAAAATGAATTGGTAAATATTCCCTCCTCTTCTATTTTCTGGAACAGGACGTGTAGAATTGGTGTTAATTTTTCTTAAACGTTTTGTAGCCTCTCCTGTGAAACCATCTGGCCCTGAAATGTCTTTCTGGGGAGTGTTTAAATTGCAAGTTCAATTCCCTTCCTTGGTATAGGGCTATTAAATTATCTGTTTTATGCTGAGCATGTTGTAGTTTGTGTTTTCATGAAGTGGTTCATTTTGTCTAAATTGTCAAATTTATGTATAACTTTAATCATACATTTTAAATAATCCATTATTTTTCCTGAATTTTATTATTTGTGTGAAATTTGTTTTTACATTTTTATTTTATGAGTTTTCAGTCTAAATAAATATTCACCTTTGAACCTAGCTTCCTATGATTGTAATTTTATAGGTATCTTTTTCTTAAATAAGGTTCCTCTATCTCCCAAAATGTGCAAGATTCAGGCTGCACAGAAGCTGGATCTATCCAGCCCCTGACTAAGATTTGTTTCTGGCATTAAATGAAACTTGCCTTTAAATGAAACTTAAATGCGTGGAGTGAGTTTCCGGACTCAGGTGCGGCCAGGTCTCCACAGGCCGTGGTCAAGCTCTTACTGCCTTCTGAAGCGAAATCCCCTGTGAACAGAGGACAGGAGCTCAGTCAGCTGCACTGGTTTCTGTCTGATTGGTGCCAGGTGATGAGCGTCCCTCCTCTTCATGCTCCTCTGAATGTCTACAGTAGTCCTGCTTATTTTTTCAAAACACGAAAAGAAAGAAGAGAAAGCCAAAAAAGAAACAAGATTGGGGTGTCGGGGTTGGAGAGTCAGCAGGGGCATCTCCAGGAGGGTCCTGCGCCCACCGCGAAGCCGGCCTGGGGAGTTCCTGGCGCTGCCGGCGTTCCCACACTCCCCAGGCCACCCTGCGGGACGGGCGCGCAGCGCAGACAGGAAGCGGCCCGAGATAAGGCTGCGGCCGGCCGGGCGGCCTGATTTGCTGGGCTGCCTGATGGCCCAGGCCGAGGCTTCTCTCTGCGCCTGAGACCGCGGCCGCCTCTCTAAATAGCAGCCATGAGGCGCCTGGGGCAGTGTCCTCGCGGGCCAGCGACGGACGGGACGCCGCGTTCGCCCAACGCGTGCTCAGGTAGGAGACGCTACCCGGGGCTGCAGCTGAGGGTTTCACCGGGGCGAAGACAGTGGAGAGGGGAGGCAGGCAGGGTTCCAAACGGGGCGCCACGTGGGCTCCGGCTGAGCGAGGAGGATGGGAATCTGTCCCTAGATCCAGGCAAAAAAGATTGAGTCTCAATAAATCTGGCACCAGAGTTCCAACGTTGGATTCGTTCCTGGCGGAAATTCGTGGAGCCTGTTGATGAAATGGGTTCAGACCCATGAGAGTTGCTGGAAGATGGAGTCACCCTCTTGGGTGGCAGATTTCAAAGAGCCCAAGGCCCAGAGGGCGAAACAGTCTTTCCTAATTCCAAACCTCAGTTCAGTACTTGGTCGCACAACCTGAGGATTGTTCCTGAGCCTGAGCGGAGTCTGAGGGGTCAGGGGACAGCAGCCACCACTGCTCCCAGGGACCAGTGGCTCTGTGTTGGGCTCAGGAACGGGGATCAGAGAGGTGGGGGGAAGGTGGGCCTTGGGGTGGCAACTTTCAAGGGAGGGACTTTGAGTTCAGATGGGGTCGTGTAAAACCAGGTGGGGTCATCTTGTCTCCAAAATTGGAAAGGAGGAAAGTTCCCTAGGGCAGCCGCCTCCTGCCTGGATGCCTTGCACTAGGAACTGGCTGTCTTTTTATAGCTAAGGTGATGTGGCCGTTCTCAGTGTAAAGATAAACGTTTAAAGCCATCGCATGTGGGTAGCCGGAATTTTGATTTGGTGGGAAACACTTTGCCTGTGGTAGGCAGAGCACTGCCCCAGTCTTTCACAGCTATTTGATTGTACTTACAATTTTGAAAAATCCATGCACCAGAGAAGACAGCACACCGGTAATGTGCTGTCTGCTGGGGGAAGGTAAGAGGGGAGAGATCCCTTCTTACTCTGTGCTCTTGGTAAGAAGCTAAGAGGAGCGTGTGCTGTTGTGGGGTGGAATCCACATAGAATCCAAGCTGCCCCAGAAGGTGCTCTGTCACTGCAGGGATGGAAACACCACAGCGGGGTTGGGGCAGTCGCCAGTGAGATGGGCCTCCTCGTGATTCAGGGATGTAGTTCTCAGGAGGCATTTTGTGGTGCCTGTTTTTTTTTTTTTGCTGGGCATTGCTGAAGTTACTTAACAAAAATGTAGACTAGCATGTTTGGCAACTGAAGCCATGATTTTTTCCCATTGTCTATTTCATTCTTTTTTTTTTTTTGAGATGGAGTCTGGCTCTGTCGCTCAGGCTGGAGTGCAATGGCACGATCTCGGCTCACTGCAACCTCTGCCTCCCAGGTTCAAGTGATTCTCCTGCCTCAGCCTCCTGAGTAGCTGGGATTACAGGTGTGCATCACGGTGACCGGCTAATTTTTGTATTTTTAGTGGAGAGGTGGTTTCACCATGTTGGCCAGGCTGGTCTCGAACTCCTAACCTCAGGTGATCCACCTGCCTTGGCCTCCCAAAGTGCTAGGATTATAGGTATGAGCCACAGGGCCTGGCCCCATTGTTCATTTCATTTTTAACATGTACTTCTTCTCAGGATTCCACGTTTAACCCCCTCCCACTGCTTGTCAAGTCTGCCCCTTCCATTGGTGGGAAAGCTCTAAGCGTCTTGGGCCCTGGCTGGGAGATAAGGATGTTGTTCTTAAAGAGGTCCTGGGGGTAGCTGTGGCTTCTCCGTTTACAGAACGGAATTCCTCTTCTAAGAAGGCAGTCAGAGGGTGAGACCTCTGGGAAGCAGAGACTCCAGAGGGTGAGACCTCTGGGAAGCAGAGACTCCTTCGGGGGCCTGTGTGCCCTCACCCTGTGCCTACCTGCCATGGTTCCTGCTGTGCGTCTGAGAGCGCCCTGATGCAGGGCCTGTGTCTCCTCTGTGCCCATAGGCCTAGATGGGGCCTGTCACCGGAAAGTGGACAGAAACTCTCTGAATGGGCAGCGGGGTCAGTGAATGAGTGGAGTGAGTGAAGGCATGAGAAATCCCGGCCTGGGCTGCTCCGGGATCAGTGGGTGAGTGTGAGTGAAGGCACGAGAAATCCCATCTGGGCTGCTCTGGGTTTCTCCGCTCACTGCTCACCCCTTTTCTTGGGAGATGGAGCCTGATCATTGTTGAAGCCACTCTTGGAACATATGTGGAGTGAGGGCAGTAAAAGCCTTGCTGAACACCTGTTTATACCTGAACAGAATCATTTCTAGCTAGAGAGGAAATTCCCATGTCAGCCTTTGATTCCTGAGACATTAAAAAAAAAAAAAGGCCAGGCGCGGTGGCTCAAGCCTGTAATCCCAGCACTTTGGGAGGCCGAGACGGGTGGATCAAGAAAAAAAAACAAAAAAACCCTCAAAACAAGCCCAGGCTGGGTGC